GAGCGAAGGAAACCTGAGGCACAAGGCTTTTCAGACCGGGAAGACCCGATGATACACCCTCCCCTCCCTGATTCAGCAAGTGAAGAGAGGCGACCATAGTCGAGTATTGCAAATTCGACCACAGGGCAACAATCTCCTCTGTCTTCCTGTTGGTTTCCGCTGTGATGGATGAACGAGCAGATGATACCCTCATTTTCGCCATCCCTGGGCTGGAAGCGAACCTCTTATATTCCGGTACCAGCCAGCTAGGCTGCTTCTGAGATGCCTCTCGATCCGATCGCTTTGTTCGCCTTTCTTGCCTGGGGGCGCCGTGTCTGGTCACTATGTAAGTATGTGATCTGAACAGTTGCTGAGCAGCAAGTCTAGATATGCGGGAGCAAGCCATCTATCACATCATGACCCCGGTCGACAGCCAATCAGCTGCTGCAGGCGGCCTGCGACCTCAGGTTAGCGCCCAGCAAGGGAGACAGCGGCCCCCTTCGCCCCCATCCCCTTGACCATTAGTTGGTGATGGGTATAGATATGGCTCCGCAACGGCAGGCCTCTGCTTTAAAATACGCGGTGATAAAATACGACGAGAGAAAAGCCCCCCCGAGGGCGTGAGGCCTGGTCTTGTTGGCCGCAAAGTGCTTCTTCTTCACTTCTATCCAACAAGAGGCCGATGACGAGGGGCCCAAGAAAAGCCACCGAGTATCGATTGGCGCTAGGATATGCAGCTAAAATAAATCGATTTCGTCACGCCCATCCCGCCCCCGTCCATTATTTGCTTTCCTCAAACCATTCGTCTTGCTGTGGCACTCGCTCGATTCCCCATATAACACGGATGTGATGCAGGTAGAATACTCCATACAACGCACCGGCCTATCCTGCGCCGGAAGAGGGTATACATCCAGTGTACCTGATGCATGCACCCTGCATACACAGAAGAACTTGTCACAGCCAGTGTACCCTCGTTATTCTTCAAGCTGTGTATGAGTATGTACTCCGTAAGTATGTACGAACGTGCGGATATGCTGCTCCAGAGGTCGTTTCCACCTCAGGAGTCAGGACTGCCCGTACCATATACATATACATATACCTATACTGGAGGTTTCTATGGGCTCAAGGGCTGCACGGAGTGTCTAAGCATGATATTTACATATTGCCTTCTATGTGCCGGGGGGATCTCTCCCTTGCAGGTGGTTATAAGCGAGAAGAAACAGTGATATTGATCTCTGCTATCTGCTAGCCACCTTTTTTTTTTAAAAAAAAAGAGAGAGAGAAAAAGAAACAATTTTGAAAAAGAAGTGCACTGACCAAAAGAGTACAAGTGTGTACGGCGTGGTACACAAAAACGATACTCTGATTGCTGGAGGTTCGCAGAATGGGACGTTTCTTTTTGGCAGCAGAGGATCCAAAGAAGAGGAGAAGGATGAATGGACTGGGGACTGGCCGTTTCCCCAAGCGCCGTCTTCTTGTTATATTCCCGCCGTCTCCCACCATCTACCATCCATCAAGCTGAGAGTGAGAGAGAGATCTGGTTTCATCCTGGTGTGAAAGAGCCGTCACATCACACTCGCTAGACAAGGATTCCACCCCTACCCTAGAACTCTATCTCACTTTCAATACGATACGGATGTGCATACGATGATGTATCAAGGGCTGCATCTTCATACGAATTCCTAAAAAAAGATATATATCCTCAACCCCCATCACGCAGCTGGCCCCCCTCCCCGCCCCCCTTCCATCGAACATTCGATTGCAAACAGCGGCTGGAGTCGACAAACGCTCGTCGTGGGATCTGATATATTCATATCTAGAGAGAGGCTCCTTCCTTTCTTTTCTCTACCGTCTCACGCCGTTAATTGCTGTTCAACATACAATTACAATACCCTTTCAGCACCCGGATTTAGAGAGTATAAAATCGGCCTGGTGGCAGTTGACCTGCCTCGACTATCCACAGTAGTTAAACAAGGCGAAGATATATCTATACACATGTCAACGACTACCTGATATCGAGACAAGAAGCCTTTGCTGCTACCCTTTCTGCTCTTTCTTTTTGGACCCTGCATCATGGTAAGTCAGCTTGTCAGAACCCGTGTTACACTTATTAATGATTTCGTAGGACTACACCTACATTCCGCCCCTATCCCAGGGTAACATTCAGATGTTCCCTCCGGTTAACAACAACCAGGCGATAGACTACATGATGAGACGCTCATCTTTCAACTCTCGGCCTCTATCTGAGGCAACAGAAATACAAGATCTTGACTATGAGGTTGAGTATTTCGAACCTGAGTCGCCACGCCGAAGTATAGAATCAGTTAGTGTACATATCAACCAAGT